GTAGTCTGAACTCTTTAAAAGCATGCAAATGACCAGCTATCTGCAAAGAATATAAATCCTTCCATTCCCCACCATCCAGTCAGAGCTGAAGCCGCTTCATGGGTGAGAAGCGAAACGTCTTCCAAAGGAAAAAAAAACAAGAAAGTCCAGTTGCCTCCTGAAAAAGCACCTTTGGGGTTGCACTGATGATGTTACCTAGTTACGGTAATGAAAAACATCTGCAAGATGAAGCTGATTTCAATATCCAGAAGCAGGAAGTTCCATCCTCCCTCTGGATGGTTTGAAGCCATGCCATTACCCTGCAGCATCTCAGCAGGTTCCAGAAGCAAATCCTCCTAAGGCCAGAAGATTGACGTGTCCCAATCGTGGCTTTTTTAAAGAGCAAATGGAACACTGAGGACCTATCAAGAAAGTTTCATCACCGAACCAGTGAGTGATGGCGAACCTATGGCACGAATGGCATAGGCGGCACGCAAAGCCCTCTCTGCGGGCACGCGAGCTGTCGTCCCAGCTCAGTTCCACCCCGCATGCATGCATGCATGCCTCCCACCGGCCAGCTGATTTTCAGATCTCTGCTGCACATGTGCGGAGGGCAGGCAGAAGACATGGGCGGGGGTAATGTGTGCATGTGCAGGGCGCGAGGGAAACGCAGGGGGCGTGGGGGGGGGCAGTCTGTATTTGGTCTCAAGGGGCTTCGGGGAGGTTGCCCCCATATGCGTGGGAGTGGGGGAGCATAGGGGGGTGCACGCACATGCACACGGGATACGGCGCGCGGGGGGATGCCGCACAGGCATTGCTTTGTGGGTGTTGGCACGGCAACGACAAAAAGGTTAGCCATCACTGCCCTGCGTCCTGAGATGACGATAAAACGGCCGCCAAAACCCACCATCTTCCATTTTCCCATTTTGTCATGAACAATTTTCAAGCGGGCAGCTTTACCTCTTCCTTGGCGATGGCCAGCTGCATCTCCGCGTTTTGTCTCTTGATGTTGTAGTACTGGACTTCCACTTCATGCGTGAGCTGAAGCCATTTCTGCAGCGCATCTGGAACAGACCAATTGCTTCGCAATTCGAACTCCTTCTCGGCCTTTTTTAAGGCCATACGGACCTAAGTGAACAAAAGGCGCTAGATTGGATAAAGGGGCTGGCCCGTTTTCCCCCCGAGACATCTGAACATTTATAAGTAAGACTAGGAAAACGGGGTAATGAATTGGTTAATTAATTAACGAATCTGAAAGCAAGGTCTTCAGTTAACCAAACAGAGCATGGATCTAATTCTTGTTCTAGCTGGCTGCATACGTAGCCTGTAAACATTCCATGTTTTCTATTTCCATAGATAAAATTACCCAGATTCCACTTTCCGAAATGTATTTCTGTGGCTGACCTCAATGTGCCTCACTGATTAAGTTGCATTTGTTCCTAACTTTATTGTTTATTTACAGGGGTGGGTTTCTCGCCCCGTTCNCTAAAGGACAGCCAGAGTTAATTTCCTTGAGGATTGATACCGTTATCATAACTCCCCAGTAAAAGAAGGCGAGGTTAGGCCTGCACGACCAGAGAAATCCTTGCAAGCTGCTTCACAAATACACAAGCCTTCCCACCCAGGAGCCTGGAATGAGGAATGTTAGCAGTTTATACCGTATTTTATTACTTTAATGACTTTTTTTTTCATGTAGCCAACAGCTTTCCCAACAGACCACATTATTATTTTTAAAATCCACCTCCTGGAATAAGAAAAACAACTTGAGTTTGTGGCCTTTGATGTTGCTATCACAATCTTTTAAAGCATAGGCAAAAATAACACTTTTTTTTTTTTTTTTTTACAAAAAAATCAACTCATGAATATCTGGTCTCGCTGTGTCTAGCACAGGAGTTGGCAACCCGCGGCTCCGGAGCCGCATGTGGCTCTTTCATCTCTCTGCTGCGGCTCCCTGTCGACGGTCTGCTCCACAATTGATATGGCTTTCGGTTAGGGCAGGTAGAGGAAAAAGGATGCTGCGCTAGGAGGGGGAACCAAACTTTCGGTCAGCTCCAGAATTGAACGGGAGGAGGGGCTTTCAGTTAAGACCTCTGTGGCTCTTTCAGTGTTTAAGGTTGCTGACCCTTGGTTAGAATCACAGGGAAAGATACGGAGGGTGCAACTCTTAAAAACAGAAGCTACAGCCCTAAGAATGGAGGACAGGGGAATGTGGCACTCAAGAATTCAAGGGGTTACACCTCCCCCCCCCCCCTTTTCACGCTTCTCATCCAAGAAGCTTCTTTGGCTCTGACGGGATGGTGGGCAATGGAAGGATTTATATTCCTTGCAGACAGCTGGCCATTTGCATCCTTTTAGAGGGTCATTGATGCACTTGGAGGTTTAATCTGTGTCCTCAGGATCACCTGAGTGGTTTTTCTGGTTCCTATAGTCTGCAACTTGTAGTCTGAACTCTTTAAAAGCATGCAAATGACCAGCTATCTGCAAAGAATATAAATCCTTCCATTGCCCACCATCCCGTCAGAGCCAAAGAAGCTTCTTGGATGAGAAGCGTGAAAAGGGGGGGGGGGGGGGTGTAACCCCTTGAATTTTTTAGGGCCACATTCCCCCGTTCTCCATTCTTAGGGCTGTAGCTTCTGTTTTTAAGAGTTGCACCCTCCGTATCTTTCCCTGTGATTCTAACCAAGGGTCAGCAACCTTAAACACTGAAAGAGCCACAGAGGTCTTAACTGAAAGCCCCTCCT